TCACTTTTCTCTTATTTGAACAAATTATGTTTTCCTCCTGCAACTGCTATTTTAGCTGTTTGCTAGACATTATACTAATCTTGCTTTTTTGAAATGTTTTACCTTGTTCCTCATCTTCCTTTGAAAATTGTTCTTGTTCTGTGGACCGTCTGTGAAGATTAAGAAAGAATTTTGTATTCTGTTTCTCACAACTTGACTTTTGAACAATTCCCAAATGTCCCATCTAAATACACAAGTTACAGACTAGTACAGTCATTTTGACTCTTCAAAGCACATTCTAACTCTATCATTTAATTCTAATTTAGTAAACTGTGCTTTTATGTATTTTTTCAGATGTACCAGTTAAAGTTGAAATTCTTTTCCTTCCCCTTCTAAGTGACAGAGTTTGTTAATTTTATGATCAGCCTGCAATAAATCTAGAGACCATTTTGAGATTAATGAAATCCCTTTGATAATTTTATTTTACTATACTGTGACAATTATTAGAAGTGTGAACTTACAGAATATTTTTGCTAAAATAATATTACTATTAAAAATTATTACATCTCATTAGACTTACATGTATATGAGAATATGATGGGTTGTTGGATATTTGGTAGGTAAAATAAATTTATTTGTGATTTATCCATGATTTTCTTTTTCCTCTTGCCTTTTTTCTTGTAACTGTATAGCTCCTTTTAATTGTTATTTTAAAATGAAGATATTTTCTTCACAAACTTCAATGAATTGACAGTTTCCTTATTGAACAAGACTTTTGCAGTTGCAAATTGGATCTCGTACCACCTTCAACTCTGAGTCCCTACTGTGATTAGAAAGGGCAGGGTAGAATGCTGGAGAGAGCCAAGTCCTCTGGAGATGGTTTGGTGCTGATCAGAAGCTATACTAAACTTAACCTTCCTCCCAAGAGATTGCTACCTTGCCAGCCTCACTGGAACTTTGAAGTCTCCAAGTGATAGGCGTTGGACAAAGCAGCATTTGATTCTGTGTTAAATGGAGCAAGCACCTCTATTTCCTTGCTGATAATGAGGCCACATTGCAGAACTCTAGGCTTGGAAACTTTCATGATGGCCTAGGACACTTAGAGACAGAAAACCTACCTCTCCAGAGACAAGTCCGTGTACGCATTGGTTCCACTTGGCCACAGTTGCATGATTTACCCCTTTTTATGATGTCAGAAGATGGAAAGTTTTCATTGATGACTGTAAAGGGAGTCCTCTTGTATTTATGTATGATCAGTTTGTATATATGCATCAGCATGGTATAGCAGGCTGGGAGACTCTTGTCCCTCTCCCGTGTGTACTTTTCTTCCTCTCTGTCTGTCAAGCAACTATCTGGAAATTTGGGTGTACAGACCAATCCCAGTTGTCTATAGTGTTAAATCTTGAATAAATTATGTCTCTAGTTACTAGAGAAAGCACTGCTGAATCAGTACTACCACATGAAGTGTGCATGTGTGCATGTGTGTGTTCTCGCATTTCTTGTTTTTTGGTTACAGAAGTGGTCTGTATTAATTTGAAAATTTTATAAACTATAAAGAATAAAAAAATCTCACAACCTTCCTGTCTGTAGGAACCTTGGTTAGATTAGGAAGTATTTACCGTTATGTTTTCTATGACTATTTTATATACCTGAAATCAGGATATGCATAAATTCTCATTTTATTTTTTTAAAAACTCAAACTTCCTCATACTATTAACATTTTAAATATATTTAAAAAATGAATTCAGGAGGATAATCATGTTTCTGAGGATACATCATATTTCAAAGTTACCAGAGATGTATTGTATACATTTATTGACTTTTTTTTCCCAATAAATTACTGTGCCAAGCAACAGGCTAGTAATTAAGCCTATAAATATCCTTTCAATGAAACAATCAGATATTTGTCTATAAATAAATTTGCAATGCCATCTCACTAACTCATCACTGAATGGCACCTACATTTCTTCTAATGTTTTATCTTAGGTATAGAACAGTATTTCTTAACCTTTCTTGGGTCACCAACCCTTGTGAGAATTCATGAAGGCTGTGAACCTTCTTTGCAAAGAAATACATATTCACATAAAAAGCTGATTATAATGATAATCAGTTATGATATGCCAGGCACTCTGCCAACTGCTTTATATGTGTTATTTTGTTTCATCGTTGTTATGCTATAAGGAATGCTCAGTTTTTGAAATAAAGATACTCATGAGATAATGCTACTTTCTGAGATAAAGATATTGAAGTGTAAAGATGTTAGGTAATTAGCTCAAGCCCAGAAAACTAGTAAGTGGGGAACTAGGGCTCAAATTTGATTTTTCTCTGACCTCAAAGTCTATCCCCTTAAAATCATTGTGCATGTAATTTTAGGGAGCTCATCAATTCCTAAAGCCTGTTTATTGATACTCAAGTTAAGGACCTATAGCAATCCAGAGATTTTCATTGGCAATGACAAGTATACATGTTTAATGAATCTTGCTATTTGTGTAACTTATTTAATCAAAATATAGTATTTATTAAGCATGTACTATTTGTTAGTGATAATCTTTATTCCTAAAAGTTTGCTGTCTACATGGGAAGGTAAGAATTACATACATGAAGCAGTGAGGAAATACATACCAATATGAAGTCAAATATAGAGTAATCAGGTATTTCCATAAGCTACATGTGAAAATTAATCTTTTTATTTTATCATACCTGGTGCAATTGTCATTCTTTAATCCTCTGATTTTTAAAAGGGCAAATTGTATCCTTTGGTAACTTGGGAGACTCAGTCTGTCATAAAACTGAGGTCTGTACAGTGACTCAGAACTAAATATGCATCATATCCAGTTTCCTGAGTGATTTCATCAGCTTCATCAATTTGCTCCAGGAAGCATGCCCAGTAAGCAGGTTCAAAAGGTGTAGCCAGCTCCCAAGCATTCAAACTATGTATCACAGAGTAATTGTGTTGAGTTGAGCATATATAAGAACATCTTGATGGTTGTTGCATTTTGACTTAAGTAAGTTCCTGCTGACAGAGGGGACTTCAAATGATGTAACCTAGACTTGAGCAATGGAGGATCAATAGTGATATCTGTCAACCTTGGAAGAAACCATCCAGCCCAGGAAGCTTATTTAAGTTGACCATGTAACAAGGCTGTCAGAAAGAATGGCTATAGCCATAATTCAAAGAACTGATTTCAACAGGCACATAGTATGAGACATTTGTACATTTGAGTTGAGCAGCTCCTGTATATGAGGTTATCACAGATCTTGATTATTGTTGATGTGAAGAATGGATTATATCAAGCTTTCTGTTAACATGGCCTTCATCAAGTGTTTGTACAGTTTTAGAATTTTGTCTTATAAAACTTTTTCCTTTTGGGCTCTATCAGTAGAATCAATTTATAAATAGCATTATTCTTCTTCTTAAAACATTTAAAAACTTTAGTACTGCTAATCATACAAATTGTTTATCTCCTTCCATTTATAAGTCATTTTATTTAAAATGTCTACAATAAGAATATTTTATATAGAGTTATATGTTTGTTCTATATTTAAATTAGTTTAATACATTACTTAACGTTTCATTTCACATAGTGTTTCCATAATCCATACAATCTAAGTTGTTAGAATTATTTCTTGAAGTAAGAAAAGGTTTTAAGAAAATCTGTTATGTGTAAGAAGCTCCCAGGTAGAAAATATTTTTAAATAGCTGAAATTCTCATTATTCTTCACAGGTCATCATTTGTATTCATCCAGTTGTTGAAAGTAATTTTAGAGACATATGTATAAATATCTTGATATATTTCATTTAATTTCAAAAGAAGAATATGAGACCAATTCTGTAGTTTCTTAAATTCAGTCCTGAGGAATACATATATTTGATATAAATTTATTTTCATATTTGCTTCGAATAGTCACAAATGTAAATACAAGTTGATATTAAATGTCCATCACACTTTGTCTTCAAGGAGAGAACTGAAGGCATAGTAACTGTCTAACTTGGAATTTGTTCTGTGTGTGTGTGTGTGCACGCGCGTGTGTGCACGCGCGTGTGTGCATGTATAGAGAACTTAAGACCTTTTGATTTCATAATAAGCAGGGCTCAGGGACAATAAAACTTGACATTCTTATCTGTTACTAGTATTTGTCCCTATAGCCCTGTGCGGTTATCTTCTTTTTAATGACAAGGAAGCGCCAGACTCATAAATTGAGCCTCTACCCAAGGCGCTACTGTAAATTGCAAATAGCATGGTGTGGTCTTTTCGACCTAAGATGAAACTCGGGTAGAGGGAAGAGAAGAATTTTGAAAGTACAATGAAAATAGAAGTCAAGAATAAAAAATACAGTAGAAGGACAGATGTTTCCCTGAAATTTGCAGTGAGATTTATTTGGATGGGCATTTTCATATCCAAAAATACACTTTTGCTCAAAAGCCAAGCGCCCGATTGGGACAGCCTTTGCTGCTGGTGTGTGTGTGTGTGTGTGTGTGTGTGTGTGGTGTGTGGGTTGGCACTCATGAGATAATACAAATAATCAGTGAGGGAATAATTAATGGTGTGGCAGGGAATATTTTTTGATAAATGCTTGGGGAATGAGGTGACAAGCGTGAAATTAGAAAATTCCTTCAGCGATCTAAAATATAAATAGCTTTCGGAACTGAAAAGAGTTTCACAGCTGAAGATTTTATTGTGTTGAGAGGAAAAACTTTTTTCTCTCCCCCACTCCCTCCTCCTTTGCAAGTTGTTTGTCCATTCACAAAACAAATACTCTGAAGCCCAGCGCGGCTCATGGGAATAAATTTCAGGTCGAATTAGTACAGTTTCCTTGCTGTCAGGATGCTGGAATTAATGGTGTTTTGATGACACGAATTTTGAAGGGCAAACAAAGAAGCTGAAGGGAGAGAGACATGACTCCTTAGAAGCTTGGTCCTCCTCTCCCCCAGCCTCTCTTGTCTTCCCTGTCATCCGTCTGCCAATCTCCCTGTCCATGGTTAGTTAAAGGCGCTTTTTATCCTCTTTTCTTTCCCACAGAGTTTGCCAGATCCGGCCCGGTGCCTGGGTTCCAGGAGGACACGCTGCAGTTGGCCTTCATCGACTTGAGACAAGTAAGTCTTTGTGTTTTTGTTTTTTGTTTTTCTTTTAAGATGTGTGACTGAAGACCATCAGGTCTTAAGGAAAAGGGGAGGGGAGGGGGATTGGCGTTGGCGATTCACACTGGAGACCTAAGGGGTTTTTTCCCTGTGTTTGAGGCCACCTCTTTTATTTAGCTATCTGGGATCCTTAGCTATGGTGGAGTTAAAGGTTTTGTGGGTAGAAGGGAAGGCGGGGGGGGGGGTGGGAGGAGGGACCCAGAGAGTAGAGGGACTCAAGTGACCCTCAAGTGATGCGACCCATTGTGTTGTAGTTGGCTTCTGCAGACACAGCAGAAAGATAACTCGTCAAACCAATGCTAAGCAGGTGCACTGATGCAGAGACTGCCAGCTTGGACAACTTTTGTTTGTGGATAATGTGACTGCGGCGTTTAGGAAAAATGAAATATTTTACATTCTGGATTGTTGGTTTGGTTTGTTGACTTTTTCCTGCTGCCTTAAGTCTTCTCTTTGCTTGCTTTGTAGAATGTGGTTAGCCATGAGTGACTAAGTGGTCGTTTTTGAAGACGATTAGCAAAGGTCCTGACCAGCCACGCTAACTTGACAGGCAACCCTCTAAAAGAAACGTGATGAAAGCTGGGACTTAGGCGTACCTGAGCTTTGGCAAGCCCATTAGATAGAAAGCCATGGTATCTGTAGTTCTGTGGGACTGTTTCTTGCAGATTGAAATGGGTGGGATGATAGGCCTTGGTGGTTTGGATATAGTGGAACAGGATGGGCGGGGGCCCAAAGAGGGAGAGAGTTAACTGGGCTCTGTCATCTCTTCACTCTGAAGATGGATGGGGTTGGATAGAATGTGTGAATGAGGTAAGAATCAATGACTGATGTTTCTCTCCTATTAAAACAATCTTTTTTTTTTTGTCTGTTTTAAAAAGGGGGTTGGCTTTGTTTCTCCTGCCATAATGATGCAGTGCCTCTTATTTTCAGAGCTGACATAGTTTGCATTCTGAAAACTTTTAGATGCCCAGGGTATTTCTTAAAGCTGTAGGACCCCTTGTATCGGTAGACTCCTTACCACTGGGACTTGATTCATGCTGGAACGGCTTTTAACCCATAATGGATGGCCTGAGCTACCCCTGAATCCTTGTGGATGGGCGGTGTAATCTGTCATCTGATGACAATTCTGGAAAGCCCTGTTGAGTAGAAAACAAAATTGTGTGTCTACAGACCCGCCAAAGTTTGAGGATTCAGGCTGTGTCCTAGAAACGTGTATCAACTTAATATTTGGGGGCCAGCGTGGAGATTCTCTTTACACATAAAGGCTTTGCCAGCACGGTCACAAATGGAATTATCTCATCCCACTTATATGACCTTCCACCTGTGGATTCAGTAACTCAACTGAGATGCTCAGGTTTTAACCCTTTAACTCTTGAAAGATTAAAAGATAGTGATTTTGCTTTAGATTTTGTACCTCTTGGATTCCATGTTCACCCCCCTCCATTTTTGTCCATTTTTTCCCCGGAAACTTCTAAGACAATTGACTTTTCTTGGAAAGCAGAAATTGAATTTCATTGGAGAAACATATCCAAGAAGAATTTTTTTTTTTCCTTTTTCACTATTCATGAGAAGGAAGTGTGGTCATTCTGTCTAGTTTGTGGTTTTGGTCCCTATGGAAAGCAACTAGTGTTCACAGAAAATGTTAACTAAGGGAGTAAGTTAGAAAGCACAGCCAAGATAAGGTGGATCTGAGCCGGCAATGAATGCTCCAGTACTTGGGAGCTCTCAGTGAGCAGCAGTATGGTTCTTGCTTAAGTTCCTATTTTCTATTACATTTCTGTTCCCAGAGTTTCATCACTGGTGTTTTAGTGGTAGAAACCCAAATTCCAAATGAAAGACTATGCCTCTTCCTACTGAATCTGTTCCCTAAATTCTACTTATATTTGTCTCTATTAAAGCAGCTTGAAGGGTCAATTTTCCAACCTAAATCATGTGAAAAACTTCCTTAACTTTTGGATTGTATTAGCAGGCCTTGGGTAAGTTGAATCACCATGTGAAATATCGATCTCTTTGCAGTTTATCCTAGTCATTCTCAAAACTTAAAGTGGACATCTTTTAAAAGGAGACTTCTGAACTATAGAAATGTTCAAACTACAAATAGAAAGCCTGGGAGTATGTTTCCAAAGGAGATATCTTGACATCAAATGAGGCACAATTTGTCCTTTTGCATGTACTCCCCTAAAACAGGATTTTTTTAAATTTTGAGGTTGAGACTGATATTAAAATTCATATAGTAGAACCTTTGGCTTGATGCTTAAATCCCCTCACAGCTCTCGAGACTATACTTCAGTATCCTCAGGAAGGAGAACTCAGTGCCTGAAGCAGCAAGCTCACCTTAGGGCAAGGTGATTATTAGAAAGATATTTCTTAAGTTAACTAAAATCTGCCTCACTTAACATTGGCTCTTTGTCTCTATATTTTTCTTAATGCATTCCTAATGTAGGGGAATAGACTTTCTAGCCCTGGATTATTGAGCCTCCTATTTGCTAGTCATTGAGTCTTTTTTACATGTAGAATTATTATCTAGTCCTCATATGGTTGATTTCACAGACCTAAATTGAAGATTGTACTCTCATTGGTCATGTTTTTCTTTCAAACATATTCTTAGCAATACAAATTTTATCAATAAATAGAGTGGCCTTGCTAAGCTTGTTTGGGTCTAATATATAGCTTATAAACTGATTTGTTTTTTCTTTGTAAGTCACAGATAAAAATATTAGGGGAATAGCAGAAGTTAAAGGAAAGGTTAAAGTTTAATGCAGGATTTAGGGTTCATACCCATGCAAGAACGGGCTCTGTCTCCTGTGCAATACAGTAAGAGCATTCTTTTACTGCCATTGAGTGTATTCTGCTCACTGGTTTATAATAATCATTCTGATCATGCTTTCATATTCTCCTTGCATCAGAGTTTCAGACACTATTAATTGAACGATAATTTTAAAAGTATTCAAAACATGGAATGTTGATGAAATTATCTCTGTATAGACTGTAATAGCAGAATGTCATTAAAAAGCTGTAAAATTTCATTAGAAAGCAAATTAGATGGAGACAGCAAAACTGTTCATCCCTTTTTTCCTATTTCCACTTTTCTGCTTTTTCAGGAAAAGGGTGAAATGACATTTTGAATATACAAGCTTTCATGATATTTTACATTTGTATAGCACTTCAGAGTTAAAACACATTACCATACGTATCTCAGTTGTCAGATTTCTGGGTTTCAAAAACTTGTTATTAATACCAGTGTGAATTAGTACAAATCAAAAGCTGTTTCCTTTTTATATTTTATTTTTCCTTTTCTGATATCAGGGATTGAACCTAGGGCCTTGCACATACTAGGAAAGCTTCTACCATTGAAATACATGCCCAGCCCTAAAAGCTCCTTCTTAAATAATTTGTATTTCCTATATCCATAAATTCATAAAAGTAGGATAGCAGTTCAACTTTACATATAAATATCAATTATATGTGTGTATTTCTATAAAAATCCAAATTTGGCTTAATGCTAACGCTTGAGAAGGGCCAGGCACAGTGGTGCATACTTGCAATCCCAGACACTCTGGAGGCTGAGGAAGGAGGATCACTCAGCATCTTAGCAAGGCCTATCTCAAAATAAAAAAATAAAAAGGGCTGTGGATATAGCTTATTGGTGAAGTACCCCTGGGTTTAGTCCCTAGTACCACACACACACACACACACACACACACACACACACACACACACACACACAAAAACACCCAAAGCTTGAGAAGGACAAATTAAGGCCTCCTGAATCTTGAAGTGGTATATATACTCCAAGAATTAATAATTACAATAATGGCTGCCTTTATTGGAATTATACAGGGCCAATAGTAGATTCATAGTAGATATGTTATTCTTTAACAATATTGTGGTTAAACATTAAGTAGGTAATGCTGATAAAGAACAGAATTTGATTTTAATTTCAATTTCATCAAACTCTGAGTGTCTCCCATGTACAAAGCATAGCATAAATGCTGTGGAAATACACAGATGAATTTAATTTCTTCCCACCAGGATCATGTAAGGAACACTGTGATGAGTATTACGTTAGAGAGATGAAGCCGTTGTTTATATTTCAATCATTTCAGCAGCTTTTCCTGCATGGTAAATCATCCTACAACATATTGCCTTTAAAATAAGAATCATTTATTAAATTCAAGTTTCTACAGATTAGTAATTTAGGATGGATTCAGCTGGGCTCACTCCTACTTTGGGGTCAACTGCTAAATTGGTAAAGGACTGGCCAGCTCTTCTCTGCTCCATGTGATCTCTCGTTTATCAGCAGCCTAATCTAGGCTCATTCAATGCTTCTTGGAGGTGTTCTGAGAGCAAGAGAAGCATGCGCACTCCTTGAGGTCTGTACTTAGAACTAATGAATCATCATTTCCATCACATTTTCTTGCCTAGAACTAGCCACAAGGTCAGCCCACATTCAAGAAGTGAGGAAATAATTTCTAACTTATACCATAGCTGGGACATAAGACTTGTACATAAACAATGCAAATTAGGAGCAAGATTATATTTGTAAGTACAAAAAAAGGCCATGAAGTAAAGAGACCTTTATTTTATAACCATTTAAATATTTCATGGAAAAGGTAGACAGTTAAACTGAAGGTAAGTTAGACATTAATAAGAGCAGAAAGAATTTAAAGTGTAGAAAATAGCAGATTTATGTTTTGCTTAAAAACATGGGTCAGTGGGTGTTGATTTAAGTAGAATATTTAGACTGTCTTTCCTTCTTTAGGTATCTTTGTCAACCCCCATTTTTTTTAATATCTTTATTTTGTTTATGTATGTGGTGCTGGGTATTGAACTCAGTGTCTCACACATGCTAGGCTGGTGCTCTACCACTGAACCTCAACCCCAATTTTCTAATTTCTTATATGTAGTCCTTATTTTCTGGTGTTCAGTTTTCCCATGGATTTCCTTTTTTAAATCCT